AGATGGGAAATAAAATACAGCATAAAGAATAATAGAGTCTTAAATCTCTAATAATGATAAAAACATCACTTAATGGACTGGTGTGTCAGTTTTTTCTTTAATAAATGAGGATTATGAGTGGTCCTTGGGAGAATCATTAAGAGAAGCTTTTCTTACAAAGTTCCTGTGGTGGTAACCTGCTCTTAGTTCTCTCCTACTTCCACACAGCTCACCAAAATAAGTGTATCCAGGATTAGCCAAACAGCAACTTAAAAGCTAAATGATAATGTGCTCTTCTTCCACAATCATACACATTTTTAAAAAAGAAGTACCTGAAGACAGTAATGCTTAACCCAAGGGAATGGAAACTTTAGGCTTTATGACACCTGGGCCAAGAAGTTTTTTGTTTTTTATTTAAGATTTTATTTTTGGGTAATCCCTATAACCAACGTGGGGCTCAAACTCATGACCCCAAGATCATGAGCTGCATGGTTTCTGAGTCTGCCAGGAGCCCCCTCCCCCAAGAAGCTCTTGGACAATAATGTCTGATATTCACTATACTTTTCCCTATCAGTGTTTCTGCCTAAAAATATTGGCTAGTTTCTAGATGGTAATTCTGTACCGCTTTCTTCTTCAGGAATATTCCTATAGGTCAAAAAAAATTAAGAAATTCTTTTGACTCTAAAAGAAAATATAAATTTAAAATTCTACAATTATTAGAAATAGTATATAGCCTCTCTCCACTATTACTGAAGATTTCAGGTCTTTTAAATGTAATTAAACTTGATGGAAGTTGGTGGTTAGGGCAAGGGCTAAAAGGGCTAAAAGCTGATCACTAGAAAGTCCCATATCCTGACTTTGAGAAGAGTGCTAAGGGTGGCGGTGCCAGTGAGGGAGGCAGTCAGGACTCACCGCAAAGCTCACACTTTTCCAGGAAACTCTTCTACTAGCACTGGGTACTGGGTTGGTTGAAAACTTTTTTTATCTAGGGCTTAAAGTAGACGAGTGCACATTTGAAATTTTCCTGTGTATTCCTGATCTGAACTGCTTTTACTTTATTCTGTCATCTTATCAACCTATTAAATTGTTCTAGTTCATTTATTCAGAAGTGTTTACAGAGTACCAACTTTATATCAGGCATCTGAGTGAATATGTGGAGGGAATGTGGATACAAAGATGAAGAGAACAGCGTCCATGTCTTGGGAATGCTCAATGTGGGTAATTTTGCAGGGAGTCAGGTAGACAGGAAAAATACAAACAAAGCAGTTATAACACCCAGATGATTAAGACCTCTAACAAAGGTATGGACTAAGTACTATGAAAACAATAAGGGGCACCTGGGTGGCTCAGTCAGTTAAACACCCAACTCTGGATTTTGGCTTAGGTCATGATCTCATGGTTGGTGAGTTCAAGCCCCACATCAGGCTCTGTGCTGACAGTGTGGAGGTTGCTTTGGATTCTCTGTCTCCCTCTCTCTCTGACCCTCCCTGCTCTCTCTCTTTCTCTCTCTCTCAAAATAAACAAATAACATAAACTTAAAAAAATAAAAAGATAAACAACACAGAGGTAACTTAAATTAACATCTGACTAAAGAGTAACAAAAATTTGACCAGGTACTAGAAGGGAGGAATATGCTTTAAGAAGAAGAAATAACATGTGCAAAGATATTGTGGTTGGGGTCGTGGGAGGAAATGATACCAGAAAAATGTGATAGGCCTCATATGCCATGCTAAGTTGTTTATGCAATAGTGTGTAGGGGATGAAAGGACCCTAAACATTTTAAATAGGGAAGTAATATAACCTGATTTAAGTTTTAGAAAAATTAACTCTGATGGCAGTGAGGAAGGTAAACTTGTGAGCCAGAGGCAGGTAAACTAGTTTTATGATTATTTCAATAGTCTAGATGAGGGATGATGAGGGCCTGAAGTTATGCAATTAACAAGTTAGCATGGAATAGAGGGAATCAGGTGATTCTCAGGTAGGAAACAAAATAGAGATTGACAGCAAAGTGCATGTGAAAAGTAAGAAACAGTGAAGGAATCAGGACAGTGCTGAAATTGCTGAAGACCATTAGTGAGACAGGAAATACAGGAGAATGGAGAGGGCTTTATTTTCAAGGGAGGAATTTTTAACAAAAATACTATGGCAACACACAGAAGAGAGTGATTTAACTTTCTAGAAAGTTGAAGAAGACTTTGTACAGAAGAGATACTTGAACTAGTTGTGTTATTTTGATGAGCATGATTATACTAATAATTTATAGAATATTTATAATAATAAAGTAACTGGCACTGAACTAGGTATTTTAGATGGTATCCAGGTTATTACTCATATCAAACCTGCCTGTGAAGGCAGTATTACCGTTTGAATTTTTCAACTGAGGAACTTTTGCTTCCAGGGGTTATGTAATTTGCCCCAAATCTCACAGGTAATAAGTAGGAAAGCAGGGATTGAAATATAGGTCTGTCTGACTTGACTACAAAGGCTGCCTCTATCCTCTATGCTGTACTGAATCTTCCTGGATGAGTAAGTTTTTCATGGGGGAAAAGGGTAAAAGGTGCCAAGCAGAGGAACCCATGTATATAAAGGTATTTAGTCTTGAAAGACAGAGCCCTTCTGAAGAATGAGATATTGCAGTGTGGAGTGAAACGGAAAAAGGAGAAACTATGCAACATGCATTATTCTAAAGGCATTATGTGTTTATCTCATCTAATTCTTACCACATTATGAGGTGGCAGTATTATTATCCATATATTATGATCTACATCAGCACAATGTTTTAAAATAAAATGTCCAGGTTCACATACCTACACATTTTGAATCCAGATCCTGAGCTTTTAAACCGCTATGCTATATTACCAAAGATATAGGAGTATCTTATTGTTTAGGATGATCATATATTAGTTTTATAATAAAAATATAATTAGAAATGGGCCATCGAATTTTTTAGTTAGGAAATTACTGGTAATCTTAAAAATAACAATTTCAGCATAAAACTTAGCCACAGTGTATTGAGTAGCACAACAGTGAATGGGGATTGAAAAATACGATAGTGAACATAGATCAGTCATTCAAGAAATTTGGTTGTGAAAGGAAAAGGGGAAATGTGGACCTTTTTAGTTTACATTGTAATTACTGCCTAGAATACTGACATATTTACAAAGGACCTTCAAAAATAATTACTAGTAACAGTAATTTCAGATTATATGGAAAATATTAATACCATCTAACAAAGTCTTATAAGTTGGCTTCCTGGAAGGTTATCCTTTTAAACGCAATTATATAGGTTGATGCCCACATTAACTGTAATGAATATATACTGCCCAATGGAGGGAAATTAAAAATAAAATACAGTAGGTTGAATATGAACAGGAAAGCCTCGTAATATTTTATCTAAGTCTTACTGCTGGAAATCAGAATAAAAGATTTAACATTTACCTCAAAATTTAACATTTAAATTACATAACTGTTTCATTTAAACTCTATCCACTGGTATCATTCCATTAAAACCTTTTGATCTGTCTGTTGTTAAATATGAAGAATAGGACAATATAGTAAGTTTTCAAAAGGTTAAACCTGTTCAACTTAAAGCATTATCTGAGATGACGTTATTTGTACTTCTTGGTATACAAAGTTTTTTTTTTATTTTTCACAAAATAATAATAATAGTTGAGGAGATGTAAAAAATAAGAGGTTGATGACGTTTCCAAAGATTTTATAGAAATCTAATTGGTCTCTGGGAAACAGTGTTTAAGGGAATTTTAATCATGAATACAAATTAAAGATTATATGTAAAGAAAACTCTGAAATTTGTGATTATTTGTAGACTTTAAGAGCTAAATTAGATTCTGACTGTCAAAAGTTATTGATTTGTAATCTACAATGAAATGAGATCTACTTATGTATCTTAGTGTTTTTAGAATGTTAATGTACATTGTGACTAACTGGGTAACAGTTTCTGACTGAACATAAACCTAATCTTTAAACCTACAAAAAATATAATACTTACCATAAATCACAAATTTCAAGATAACCTGATTGTAAAGATTTTAATAAACATGAATAACTCCTAATCTGTTTAAAATTGGTCTTAACTACAGATTTACCTGACTTTGGGTTACTATTCAAAGCATAATTTCCAGGATGTTGGGGAAATTTTTGACATGACTTACTTTCAAATAAGAAGTGTAAGAAGAAAATTTGAGGTTAGCACTACTTCATACTGTGAGACTGAAAAAAATAATTAAGGAAAAAGGTATGTCTTACAAATTAAAGACAATTAAGTGTTGTAATGACATAATGTTATTAACAATACTTGAAGATGGGCTCAGTTAAAATGACAAGTTCTATTACATTAAAGCTGCCTTAGGAAATTCTGCTACAATGTTCAAGTCCCATAAATTAACAAGTGATTTCTTTGTATGATATATGTTAACATTTTGCTAGCTATCATAAGGCTGACTTGTTTTGTAGCTTTATTTAAATTTTAATAAAAATGCAAAGATCATCAGAAATAAACAAATGTAATTATGCACTGTGAAAAGCTGTATTGAATACTTCAGAAGAACAAAACGTGAAAATTAATTCCACTGTAACTATTCTACGTGCCTCGAGGTCTCAGCTTACAAAGTCACTCACAGATGATCTCAACTCAAGCAGGATTATCACAAAGCTAAATAAGTAAAGTTGATTACGTGACTACCTCTTCCCCTTGCCAATAACTTTACTTATTACCTATGAGAGGAGTTTTTCATGTATGGCCTTCATGAACTGATGAAGACCAGTTATTAAGTACAGGTGGTTTGCCCTAAATAGTGGCCATGATTTTCAAGTAAATGACCCCAAATATGGATATGATAGGCAATCTAAAAAATAACAAAATTCATTCTTCTCAATCTCCTTTGTCTGAAACCACCAACAGTATGAATAATAAATACTATATTATTTTAGTTGTCAAAAGAAAGTGTTCTGGTTTTGTTTTGTTCCAGGCTTTTGAAATAATGCAAGATCATTTTACTTACTTCTGAACTTTGTCATTGGCCGCTTGGGAGGCCTCCATGGCATGCTGAAGCTCTAATTCCATGTTTGCTCGATCTGTCAGAGCTTGCTGCAGTTGGATAGCCAGTTCCTCATTCTGCTGTTGAGTGATGGAAACAATGTTTTCTCTATTTTTTAAAGCTTCTTCATAAGTACCAAGGGTATGGTTAAACTGATCCTTCAGACTTTCTTCTTGGGATAAAGATTTATGTAAGCTGAGAAAAACATAAAAATAAATAATTTCAACATAAACATGCAGTCTTACTGACCAATAATATACTTAACAAAAATCTCCAGTTAGATATACCCATTTCTAAAAGTCAATTGAGACATACTTAAAAGGGTAAATAAAAATAATTTTTACATCACAATATTATCCTTGATAATTATTATATTTCTCTGCTTCTAGGCTGAAAGCTACCCAGACAAATGATTATTGATGTTACCAGAGCATACAAGAAGATGCTGCAAGATGTTAGTTTAATTACATCAGTGTAAATATTACATTCAATTTTCTTTAAAAGGAATAGCAGAGAATTAGAAAATAAAGCACCTCTAGGTAAATAAAAGAATATAATAAGCTGACTGCAAAGAAATGAGAAGTAAGAGAATGGGCATCAGTTTAGTAGATCCAGGGTTTCTTCCGCTGAGCACTTAACGAGAATGAATGAGGTTTGTACAAATACTGATCAGCCCATACACAGATAGAAATGAAGTTAAAATCACTACTCTGACTGCACAAAAATAATATGTATTCAGATATACTTTCTTTTTGTTAATGAATCTCATGCCAAATATATCCACTCATTAAGTCATACAGAGAAATAGCATATAAATTAAGACTAAATGAATGCAGAAGAAAATGCAGACAAATAGAACCCTAAAATGCTAAAGGTCAAATCTTTGATATGTCATTACACCTACCACCTGAGGTTATTTTGAAATGGCACCAAGCACCTCACTCAATTAAATAAAGACATTTTGAAAATATAAATATTTAATAAGGGAAATTTAAAATCCACACAGGAGATGTTCTTTTTTTATTAAATAAAATCATTTCGGTATATGCATACAAAAGAAATGTCGATGGGAGACTTGAAGTAAAACAACCTAACTATATAATACAGATTGATGATGTGAAAAAAAGTAATATAAATCTTAAAGCTGCAAAAAGCTAGTCAGGGAACTTTAGCACTGGCCAAATATCTAGTCTGATACTTTATTTAAAACTGTTCAAACTAAAGTAATTATAAATTTCTTCTTTTGTTTAAGTAACCTATAAATCTCTCCAGTGTGCTCACTTTGTAGGTGTCACATAGAAATAAGGACATACAACAGGGACACTTAGCATACCAAAATAAATTATTTCAAGATTCAACTTAGTTCCTAAGAAGAAAGACTGCTATTAAACTGTGGTCAATTGATTACTACATAAAAATAAGAATGATGTTTAGTGCCGTATTTGTAGAGTGCAAAGAAGTATCTTTATGATTCTCACACCTTGTTATTTACTAACCCTGATTTCAATTCTCAGTTCTTTCTACCAATCCATATTCCTGTCTCTTGCCTATTTCCCTATTCTTTCTATGTTCTTTCACACTTTGATTCCTCTTATTCTATGTTCCAGTTTCCTTCAATCCACCCTCTTTGTCTACTTGAGAGATCCAAGAAAGACAAACTACAAACAAAATCAAAACCTTTAAGAAGACAAGTTTATTTATGTTCTTTACATTTAAAAGATTATAACTTACATTTTAATTGTGAATTATATTTTAAATCACATAAAGTGCACAAATCTAAAGTATTCAGCTTGACAAAATGTAAAGAACAAAATATATAACAAACCCAGAAGATTCTCCCGTATTCCCTCCCAGTTAATTCCCCTCTCCCAAACTAATCACTTACCAACATCTATTAAGATTAGTATTTCCTGCTTTTGAACTGTTTGTCTGACTTATTTTACTTAATAAGGCTTATGAGATTTGTCCTATTGTTGCATGCACTTCATTGTTTTTACCGCTATGAAGTATTGTTGTATAATGGAAACCAATTTTACAATAAATTTCATATATTGAAGAAAAAAAAGTATTGTATAAATAGAAAACACAATATATTTAATCATTTCACTATTATGTTGCTATTAATATTTTTTTATTTTTGATTAAAAAATTTTTTAAAGTTTTTCATTTTATTTATTTAGAGATGGAAAGAGAGAGAGGGAGAGAGACAGAGAATCCCAAGCAGGCTCCACACTGGCAGCGTGGAGCCCAATGTGGGGCTGGAACTCACAAACCACTGTTAGATTATGACCTGAGCCAAAACCAAGAGTCTGATGCTCATCCAGCTGAAGCCACCCAGGCACCCCAAAGTTTTTAAAATTAAAAAAATTTTTTTTTTAATTTGAGAGAGAGCATGAGCAGAGGAGAGGGGCAAAGGAGGAGAGAGAAAGAATCCCAAGCAGGCTCTACGCTCCGCACAGAGGCCAACATGGGGCTCAATCCCACAACTCTGGGATCATAAACTGAGCTGAAACCAAGAGTTGGACGCTCAACTGACTGAGCCACCCAAGGCACCCAAGGCACCCTGCTATAATATTCTTGTACATTACCTTTTGAAGGACCTAAGCACCCAAACCCCACTTTCTTGAGATATAATTGACATAAGTACTCATTTCTGAAGTAGAATTGCTCCATAGGGTGTATGTATGCTCAGATTTAGTACATGATGCATAGAGTGCATAGAGTTTCCCCAAATGGTCCAACCAATTTACACTCCCACCAGCAATGTATGGGAGTTCCAATTGCTCTATATTCTCCCTTAGAGTAGGATTGCTAGTCTTTTTCACTATAGCCATTCTAGTAGGGGTACAGTGCAATTTCATTCTTTTCATATTGTTTTTTGCTGAATGTAAGTTCTTAATTTGAATAAAGCCCAATTAATCATTGTTTCTTTAATGGCAGTGTGCTTTTTGCCCTTTTAAAAAAAACTGTGGCCTAACCATTCCTATATATTTCACATACATGGTCTCATTTAAAATTCACAGTGAGCAGCTTCGTTTGAAAATTCTGCATTTGTCTATGATGTCCATGACACTACTCAGTATACTCTAGCCAATTAAATATGAAGAATCAATGTTTCAGGGGGACGTGGCTCAGTCAGTTAAGTGTCCGACTCTTGATTTCAGCTCAGGTCATGATCTGACTGTGAGATGGAGCTCCATGCTGAAAGCACGGGGTCTGCTTGGGATTCCCCTCTCTCCCTTCTCTCTGCCCTCCCCTGCTCACCCTCTTTCTCTCACTCAAGTAAATAAACATAAGGAAAAAAATCAATGATTTTTAAAAATTTCATCTTTATTAAAATCTTGGTATCCTGACTTCATTCTCTAATCATTTATCACTTACTAGTCTTCTATCATTTAAATTTTTTTTTCAAATTTACATCTCATTTTTCTATTGGATGGACCCATGACTGGGATCCTTTACTCTCAAGTTCAACAAGCTACTCATCATTCAAAATGCCTTGGAGACCTTTAAATTCCCATCAAGACTTTCTCAAACAGAAGCAATCGCTGGAGTGATCTTTTAAAACAATAAATCAGGGGCGCCTGGGTGGCTCAGTCAGTTAAGCGTCCGACTTCGGCTCAGGTCATGATCTCTGGGTTCATGAGTTCAAGCCCTGCGTCAGGCTCTGTGCTGACAGCTCAGAGCCTGGAGCCTGTTTCAGATTCTGTCTCTCCCTCTCTGACCCTCCCCCGTTCATGCTCTGTCTCTCTCTGTCTCAAAAATAAACGTTAAAAAAAAATTTAAAAAACCCCAATAAATCAGATGATGTCATTTATAATCCTGCAGAGGCATCTCATTGCACTCAGAAGAAATCTCTCAAAATAAAACAACAAATTGCCTATTTAAACTCACTAAACCTCACAACAACTTATGAGAGAGGTCCTATCAATATTAGATTTTTATAGAGAAAGAAATTGAAACAATCAGAGGGAAGTAATTTAATTAATCTCACACATCAGACAGAACCAGAATCTGAACCCACAGTCTTTCTCCCTGAGCTGAAATACTCCTGCAGGCCACGGAGCCACAAAGTCTTGTATCATCTGTTCTCTCTTCCTCCTCATCGTTTAGTCTGACATTCTGTTTTTCAGGTACATCAAGCTTTTTCTTGTTTGAGGATTTGTTTGTAATGCTGTCTCCTCTCTCTGACAAACTTCCTTTTTCATTTGGTCTCAGCATGAATACTGCTTTCTCAGATAAACCTTTTATGACTCCTCAATCTAAATTTTGGTGTTCCTTCTTCGTTATTCTGTTTCAGTGACCTTACTCTTTATCTTCCTAGAATTTTGAATAATTTGTAATTTTTTTTTCAGTTTCATCTTATGATCTACTTCCTAATTCCAACATATTAATACTCTACTTATAAAGGGCAATTTTTAAAAATGGGAACACAGGTGTTAAGAACATCGATAAATCAAGATGCTTGTATTCCTAAGGAAATTTTTTTATAGGAATAAAGATGAAATAGAGGGGAAAGATTCCCAGAATATATAAATCTACACCATTGAAGCATATTTTTGTTTTAGTGCTGGTTTTTCCCTCACAGTGCTCTTCCCTAGGGCCACATTGTTTAGCTTTCTTCATAGAATCAAATCACATTTAACCTCTTTTCAATGTTATTGATTTTCAGATGCATTCTCAGCATGGCAGTAGCATTACAATTTTTTGGTCTTAAATGATGTTGTATTGGAAAATATTTTAAGCCATAGTAGAATAAATTATAAAACAATGGCAGAAGAGCCATTAAATCACTCTCAGAAATTCCAAGGCATGTGGCTTACACAATTTTGATTGACAAAGAACGGGAACTATTTCTGTTTATCATGAAGTTAATGAGGTAATATCATACACCAAGTTTCAATTCACTCTTCCAGTTTTCAAATTATGTAATTCTTTAATTTTTGTAATTTGTATAGAAAGTGAGATGTCTTCTTTTTCCTTATATATGATTTCTTTTTTTTTAATGTTTTTTTTCCTTGCTATCATTTATTTTTTATAATTTACATCCAAGTTAATTACCACATGGTGCAACAATGATTTCAGGAGTAGATTCCGTAAGCCCCTTACCCATTTAGCCCATTCCCCCTCCACAACCCTCTGTTTCTTCTCCATTTAAGACTCTCTTATGTTTTGTCCCCCTCTCTGTTTTTATA